ACACTCTGCAAAGTCAGGCTGTATCCGACTCAAATGTTTGAGTCCGATGCACACTGGACTCAAATGTTTGAGGCCTTTTTCTCCTAAGTGGCAGCCGAGGACACGACTGCATCTGTCAGTCTTCTTCAGAGAAGATGAAGCTGGTCTGAAACATTTCACTTCCCTCTCTTAGCTCAGTAATCATTCAACAGACAGGCACCACTGCTTAACCGTGACAACAGACACGTTTCACTACTTAAAACAAGACGTTATGAGCTACTTGTTTTAGACTTTAGATGCAGTGAAGTTTGGTTTGCAAAATACAAATTCAGAATTTCGCTGTAATTCTGTGATAAGTCTTTGTATATGTTGTATCCACTTTCAACATTTTTCTCATTAAAAAAACATTTTTAATCCTTGAGAAAGGGCAAACACAAGCAACACAAAAAAAGTTGGCAAAATACTTTTTCAGGTTTTAAAGAATAGTTTAAATGTTGTTTGAATTGTGTATATGAACAACTGAAACTTGTGGAACAATAATTGTTAAAGCTACTGAAATACTTTTCAGAAAACTTTTAAAATACTTGAAAGACTCATCATCAGATCAGCTCATTGAGTGATTGAAATCCATCATTTCCATAAAGAGCCACTTTGCATGAGCAGCAGCATGCTCCAGTGCTCGGGGAGAGTTTAAAGTCCTGAGAGTTGAACACTGCAGGACTGACAGTTGTCCTTCATCACAACAGGAGCCACAGAAATCCTCCTCCTTCTCATCCAAAAACATGACTTTGATCTGCGTCCTCATCTGGACTCTCCTCCTCTGCTGCTGCTTCACAGGTAAAGTCCAGACAATCAAACTCCTCTCCTCTATGAACATCCGTCTCTCTGAAATGAAGCCCACACAACCCTGATGCTGCTTCATGTGTTTGTCTCTGTCTCCTCAGAGTCCAGAGGACAGGTCACAGTGACTCAGCCTGCAGCAGTGAGATCTGCTCTGGAGCCTCCGTCACCTTATCATGTACAACCAGTGAGGATGTAGATACTAGCGACGATCGATTACCGCAATCTTGAGGATTAGTTACTACAGGCGGCAAACCAGACTTAGCCTGGTACCAACAGAAAGATGGAGGAACTCCTAAACTGCTGATTTACTTGGTAGCACTCGAGTATCGGGACTTCAAGTCGTTTTACAGGCAGTGGATCAAACTCTGACTTCACTCTGACCATCAGTGGAGTCCAGACTGAAGACGCAGCGGTTTACTACTGTCAGAGTGTACATATCATCAACAGTCAGTCTGTGTTCACACAGTGAAAAAGCGTCGTACAAAAACCTCCCTCAGTCAGCCTGAACAGAAACCAGACTGACTGCTGCAGCAGGAAGCTTCTGCAGAGACTGACACACTTCACTGAGGACACACACTCAAACACTACACTGACTGGTTTCCATCACCTCTTCCCTGTAATACAAAAACTACACAATCAGTTATTCAATATCATATATCTCCACTATACAGTACTTAGCATTTCAAAATGAACCCTTGGCATATGTCAGATATTTATGAAGAGATTTTAGTGTTGTCCTCGTTCTCTTCTCAAAGGTGACTTCAAGAGAGTGTGGGGTAAAGCCGATCACAGAGCCAGCCTCTTTGATCAGCTTATTATCCTATTTGTATCATCCAAACAGAAGCTGCCCCCCCCCCCCCAGCACAGAACAGCATAAAAGAGGACACTAGCCAAGATACAAAACGTACAGAAGGTTCTTGCTAAAGTCAGAGGATCTAAGCTTCCTTAAGAGTCTTGACTGAGCCTTCTTTAAAGACACATCAGTGTCCTTTTTCCAATTTAATGTACTGTCCAGGAAGACATGACATATTTATGAAACTGACAGTTTGGATCTGCTATGAGGGAAACATCGTCTTTCTTTCTTCTAAAATCAATAATATGTTCCTTGTCTTTCCAACATTCAATATGCATCACACCAGCTGACTAAAGATTCAATCTCTGTTTTTGTTGGTCAGATTATTGCCTTGGGTAAGTAGGTGCACGAGAGCAGTAACATCTGAAAACTTGTGGACATGATGTCTGTGCACACTAACACAATCAGGACCTGGAGAGATGTCAGTGGGCTGCTACACACTGCGACACAGGGAGCACAACAGAGCTGTTGGGGTTCAGTGTCTTGCTCTAGGACACCTCTATAGCACTCGGAGAGTGACCTGGGACCTGGCAGCTTCCATACTTTGATGTGTACAGAGACTTAAACCAGCGACCCTCAGGTTCCCAAACAAGGTCCCTACAGACTGAGCTACTGTCGCCACAAATATATAAAATACAGCGCCTGCTCTATCAACTGAGCTAAACTGGTGCCCTGCAGAGGAAAGGTTAGTCTGCACTGACAGAACTATATGTGTTGTATAAGACTCTTTAAGTCTTTTTAAAGTCGTCGACTACATCAGAGGTTCCAACTTGTTTCCATTAGAGTCCTCCTAATTATATCCAAGAAAAGCAGAGCACCCAAAGCACTCACAGTAAAGAAGGGTTTACTACTGTCAATAATTAAAAACATTTGAATTTTTTAATTGATAATATCTTTTTTCGAGTTAAGTATTAAATCGTTTTCTTTTGACATCCAACAGAATATGCAAACAGTCTTAACCCTAACCCTACCAAAAAGCCTTTGAATAAACTTTCCACAATGTGTGTTCTCATGATTTTATTATATATTTAAATCTAATTTTGACAACCACAGAGCAGGCATTGAACAAAATGCCAGAAGCAATGTTTTATCACTTTATGCTGATGATATCATCCGTTTTATTTGTAACACATTTCTTACCCACCTTCATTATTTTCAGAGATTTAACAATTCAACACATCAGTCATCAGATTGAGACATTTCATCTTCAACAGCAGATTTTGATGATATAAGATTATTTGGAAGTTTTCCATTGCTATTTTTTTTATTCTTTAGTGAACTTACCAAAGTCCGTTCAAAAATTGTTAACCTGTTAAGAAATGAAAGATATGCACAACAAACACTGTTGATTCCATTTTTATTCTTTTGCTCATTTAAGAAAAACTGTCAATACAAAAGGCAAGAAAAATAACGTTGAAACATAAAATCATAGAGAGGGAAAGAAGGCATTTAGCGTGCAAACTGAGGGCAGTTTCAGAAGTGAAACAACAGCAGGGGAAACCAGCAGCAGAGTCCAGGTGATACAGCTCAGTCCTGGGAACACTGGTCCCTCCTCAGTGTCTCTGAGACCAGCGTCTGGGAGCCCTGGGTGGCCTCACAGGTCACAGAGCCCACCTTCGTCCACTGGCCTGCAGAGAGCCTCAGGGTGCTGCTCCAGCTGTAACGAGCGTCCTGCTCCATCACCGCAGGGCCCCTGCTCTCCTCCCAGCTGCCGCCGCTGATGCCGTCCACCTTCCAGGCCAGACTCCAGTCTGAGGGGAAGCCCTTGTTGGCCAGGCACACGAGCGTGGCCTTCCCCTGCTGCAGCTCCTCATTGGAAGGGGGCAGAACCATCAAGGTGGGACGGGCTTCACCTAGGAGACACCAATCAGAACAGAGGACAGGAACCACACAGCTGTCAGTCAAACACATCACTCCTGGACACCTTTGCAGTTGAAAGCAGAGTTTCTCCTTTAAGGAGTTTCTGTCAGATTTTTTTTCTGCTTCAGCAGTCACTCACACATTGTTTCACTTCCCTCTCAGAAATCTGTCATGCAAATCAACACAGAGACGATCATCGTACGAGAGACCAGAATACACTGGACTTAAAATATATAGCTGAAAAATCATCAAATCACTCAAACCTTTGAAATACCTATTTTTCTAACTGTTGAGTGGAAACATGAACCAAATCTATCAATAAAACATGTTTTAAATCATAAAAGGCTAAAAAATCTTAAGTGACATAATCTGCAGAAAGAGATCAGAGATTTTGAACATTTTCATTCAAAATTCTTACAACTTCCCTTTGAGCAATTTATTCAAAATGACAAAATGAAATAAGGGCCTTTAAGAGTTATCGTTGATGTGGAATAGATATCTGAAACCAGAGAATTATTTTTTATGAATCTGAAGCTGCTGAACTGAATGTAAACGATCTGTCCTGAGATGGTACAGGAGGACAAACACAAACAGGAAAAAAATATAATGTAAAAATGTATAAATGTTTCTTTATATTGTAAATGAAAAAAAGAAAAAAATCATGATTACATTACACTGTTTAGAATCGGACAGAAACTTACCTCCGACATCCAGTCTGGTTCCTCCACCAAAAGTCCACCACAGTGATACAAAGTCACTGAGTCGCCGTACAAAAACCTCTCACTGCACAGAGACACGGCTCTCTGACTTCAACACATCGTACTCAAACTACCAGCCCTCAAGATGCAACTTCACCTTTACAATGATAACACTCATTTACTCTGGAACAAATGATGACTTGGCTTCAGATTTGACATTTATTTTGATACGATTTTGTGTTTCATTAAAAATTTGTTTTTAGTCTAAATACAGAGAAAAACATGCACACAAATGTTTGGGTCAGTCATTTTCAGTCTTCCATTTCAAAATAAAATAATCTCTTGACATACAAAGGGTTAATATTTGACTTACTTCCAACATCCAGTCTGGTTCCTCCACCAAATGTGTACCACAGTGATGCAAACTCACTGAGTCGCCGTACAAAAACCTCTCACTAAAGAAAGTAAAAAAAAATGCTCTTGTCTGCAAAACCTTCAAATGAACTGAAAAGTATAAAGAATACATTTCCATTAATATTCAAAATTAAGACATTTTATTCCGGGGATTTCTCCAGAAGCATGAACACGGTTTTAAAAACATGTCTTATTGAAAGTTTAAAAAATTAACTTTATAATTAGTATAATCCAAGTCCCCAGTTAGTCAGAGCATTTCCATAAAGAGCCACTTTGCATGAGCAGCAGCATGCTCCAGTGCTCGGGGAGAGTTTAAAGTCCTGAGAGTTGAACACTGCAGGACTGACAGCTGTCCTTCATCACAACAGGAGCCACAGAAATCCTCCTCCTCCTCCTCGTCCAAAAACATGACTTTGATCTGCGTCCTCATCTGGACTCTCCTCCTCTGCTGCTGCTTCACAGGTAAAGTCCAGACAATCAAACTCCTCTCCTCTATGAACATCCGTCTCTCTGAAATGAAGCCCACACAACCCTGATGCTGCTTCATGTGTTTGTCTCTGTCTCCTCAGAGTCCAGAGGACAGGTCTCAGTGACTCAGCCTGCAGCAGTGATATCTGCTCTGGGAGCCTCCGTCACCTTATCATGTACAACCAGTGAGGATGTAGAGACTACTCTCGACGAACCCGACTTAGCCTGGTACCAACAGAAAGATGGAGGAACTCCTAAACTGCTGATTAACTCTGGTAGCACTCGAGAATCAGGGACTTCAGATCGTTTTACAGGCAGTGGATCAAACTCTGACTTCACTCTGACCATCAGTGGAGTCCAGACTGAAGACGCAGCAGTTTACTACTGTCAGAGTATACATGATATCAACAGTCAGTATGTGTTCACACAGTGAAAAAGCGTCGTACAAAAACCTCCCTCAGTCAGCCTGAACAGAAACCAGACTGACTGCTGCAGCAGGAAGCTTCTGCAGAGACTGACACACTTCACTGAGGACACACACTCACGAATGTGTGCTCAGTTTAGTTTACTGTCCTGCAGACTCTTTTACCTAAAACAACTTTTCAACTTACACAATAACAGCCAATGTTTAGGGAAGGATAAAAGCAACACATAGCAGTACTTGAATAAGAGAGGAAGCAAACACTATACAAGAGCCAGTCTGCACTTTATGTGTTTTTATTTGCCTCTATAAGGTGTTCACAAATGTCCAACTGAACCTGGGCCTTAAAGCCCCGTTTCCACCAAGCGGTCTGGTTTGGTTCAGTACAGTCTGACACGGTAAACCCTGATCTTGCTTGCGTTTCAACAGCCAACCGTACATCATAAAACAACAGCGGCACGACAGACAGCCAAGACATTCAATAAAGAAGAAGAAGAATGTGACACAGTAAATAAAAATGAATGATTGCATCTCCCAGGTCGTCCATGGGGCGGAGCTACGGGCTGACATATAGTCGCATAAAAACAGAAAACAGCCTTTTAATGACTCTCTCCAAAACGTGGTGCGTTTTGTGTTTGTCCTTTATTACCGCTGTCAAGTGAAGATTCTTCTTTCAACCAATCAACAGACTGCAGTGTTTCTAGCTCCAACCTTTAGAGTCGGTTCAGTACGCTTGGCACCCCAACAGAAGAGTACCAAAAAAGTATTCATGACAGTAGAAACGCCAATACATGCGTACCATACCGAACTGAACCGGACGGGTTCTTAAGTTTCTAACTACACTCTTCTCCTCTGTCGCCCCCCGGTGGTGGAAAATAATTCCAAACTTCATTGGATCTGCAGAGTCCCTTTGCACCTTTAAGAAAAAGCTAAAGACCCAGCTCTTTATGAACACCAATGACCTTCATGATGATGATGAAGATGAAGATGGTGTTGTTTGGTAATGATGATCACGATATTTAGGATGGTTTTGATGCTGATTAGAACTCTAAAGAGCAGCTGTTGAAGTTGTGCTTTCCTGTCAGCATCTGTGTGTCAGATCAGACTGAAAGCTGTTCATTTGCACTTACTGACTTTGTTTCCTCCTCTCTAGATCCTCGCTTGTGTTGCACTTTGGATAATAGCGTCTGCTAAGTGAATTGTAGAGTTGAAGTGACTCTGAAAGATTAAAAGTCCCAAACCTCAAAGGCACAGTTTCTTTTCCTTTCAAGTGATCACAGGTATCTGGATCCTGCTTCTCCATTCAATGCAAAGTGTGTGAAAACAAAACCTTGACTGGCTCCTTTCTGGATCCATAAAAGAAACAAACAGTCAAATGGAGTCAAAATATTCAACCTGAAATAAGAAAAAACAAGTCAATATGTAGAAAACTGATATAATCTGTAAATAGATAAGAAAATGCACGAGCATCTTCTTAGAAACACATAACCATCAAATCTTCACACCCATTACATCATCATTAATTTCAAGAACTACTCAAGAACTACTGAAATGTAGCTTCATGCCACACGCTGTGACTACGTCAGCTGAATGTCCTCGTCTCTATGAGGTGTAAAGTGATCCTCTTCAGTGAGTCCTTACAGGAGAGTCTCTGTGGAGACTGAATGAGCTGCTTCACTAACAGTCTGGATTTACACTTCACTACACTTATATTTATAGCATTTATTTATATTTATAGCATCCCATTAATCCAGCCATCCAGATATACCTAATAATTCACTTTTTTTAGTCTACATCTGTAAATTTTATAATTACTGTACATACACAGACTCTTGCACTTTTGCTTATTTGCACTTCTGGTGAGATGCCAAACCTCATTTCTTTACTCTATACTTGTATATGTGTAATGACAATAAAGTTGAATCTCATCTCATCTCTTATCTCATTTATTATCTGAGTCTGGTTGGATGAACTGAGCAGGATAGAAGGCCATTTTTAAAAGACGTACTCTGCTGCCCTCTGGTGGCTGAATGAGGGAAATGATACTGACAGAGGTACAACATTGTCTTGTTGAAATAACACACTGATAATTATAATATGAAACTATTCATCAAACGGAAGAAGACAATGCTTTAAAGCAAGATGAATGAAACATACAAGACGACAAGGACACATTTTTTAAGCATGGGAGATAATTATAAGAAGAACTAACTCAAGACATCGTATTTCATTTAGAACCAATATTATAAAATCAATATACTACCTAAAGCTAATACTTCCTTCAACAAAATAATACTGTCAATGCTGTGGGGAAGATGTGGCTTAGAGGTACAGTGGTTTGGTTGTCAGAAAAGTTGGTGATTCGATCCCCAGTTGAAGCAACCCAAATGGTTCCTGAAGGCATCACCATCAGTGTGTGATCGGATTGATGGACAGTTTGGCTCGTTATGACCATAGACTGTAAATATTACTGGATGAACCCTGACCCGTCTGTTACATAGACAGAAAATGAGTCCAATCGACGGCCGCATCCATATTGGATTTGCAGTCTCAAGCTAACTTCGGATCAACCTAAAAACAGCAGTAAGGCGGGACTTAACTCCGCCCATTCAGCTCGACGTCAGCAATCCACTTCACAGCATAGCTAACAGCTAGGCTGCTATCATCAACTATTCCTGCTCATCCTGAGAAAACTCTATAAACAGTAAGTTAACATTTAACTTTTCTACAACACAGTTAAAACTAATTATATTCAACCCAAATGTTTAATTAAAGTCTTAAAACTACACTTTTTTAAATATACAATCATGGTTATTAGTTATTTGTCAGAGCAGTTAGACTTTGTCAGTGTTAGCAGAGAAATACATTAACAAAGTTTTATCCATAAACTGTAAATAAATATGAGACATCCAGAAGAAATCTATATTACAAAGCATACAGTTCATGTTACTGTTCTGACAAAAAGAGGAATGTCTGTGTCTTATATTTACTGATGTCAACAGCGATGAGGTGAACATGACAATTGAAAAATAATTATTTAGTATTTATTATAAGATATTTGTTTTCTATTGAACCTGTGAAGTCATGGAGTCTGTGGACAGTGTCAGCTTCACACCAAAAACTTTAAGTATTAGAAAAAATAGTGTTTAAGACTGGCATCTATTATGATGAGTTGCAGCTACCTTGTTCAATATTATTCCTGCAGATGTGGCTAATAACAAAAAAACAGCCTGAGCTGTCACATGTAGTTAACTGTACATTGTGTCTTGTCTGAGGCATTAATTGAACACCTTTGTATTTCTCCTATAGACACAGTGTGGATTATTGGTGACTGGTCCATCGAGGTGCCCAGAGAGCTGCAGAGACAGAGGAAGAAACCTGAGCCTCAACAACATCTGTATTTGTTGGTTCTTCTGGGGTGGACTTCAGTTGCTTCTCTTCAACAGCTCGCTGTGAGGGAGGTCTCCCCCGGATGGCCTGAGTGATGTCACCCACAGGCTGAGAGCTGAGGCGGGTTTTAAACCTCCTGACAAACCGTTACACCGCGCCCACCTGTCAAGCTGGTCAGCTACACGCCTTATTGTGAATAACTCTTATCCTTCATCAAATCAAAACTGATGAGTCATCAAAACATTCCCCCCCCCGTACAGTGTGTGTCCATCGAGACATGAGCTAATCACACCTATTTGTTTGTTTTGTACCAAGCTGTAAACATGTTCATCTCTGCTGTAAAAACAGACTTTTTTTCATGTTGTTTTTCAGATTAAATAAATATTTCTATATAAATGCACTCCTTTATGTCTACTTATGAGTATACATTTCAGATTTGAAATGACAAGACTAAAATGTGCATTAATGCTCAACTCAATAGCTTAGGGAAGGAAGTCTACTTTTACACAACTTTTTATTCTTTTGATAAATACTAATGCAGTTCATTTCTTAAAATGGGATGGAACAGAGTCATTGCAAAATGATGACCTTAAACACAGCCCCATTCTTAAATCAAGATACATGGAGAGTAAATAAGATCAATAACTTGTGAAAAAAAACACAGTTAAAAATGATTTAGAAATGTAGTCTTCCCAGATCAATATCACATAATATCAACTT